GATCTTCCGGACCTGGGGTTTTGGAATACGACTGGCTGATGACTGGAAATAGGGCAGAAGTCGCTATTCCAGTTTTTCTTCGGAAGGGCACTGGAATAAGCACTCCCCGTATTACAGGTGGCCATTTGATAAAACTCAGGGGGCTTAGGGTTAGGACGGGGGAATAGGCCGACACTGGAATTTATCACGAGAATGAGGCGTCCTTATTCCCGTGTCAGGCCTTTTCCTACAATTCCCGTAATTTGAAGTTGTTTGAATAAATTCTAACGGTTCTGCTTCCCGGCAGTTTAGTAATTTGGCGGGAACTGGACATGTCAACCTACTGAGAAAATAAAGCCCGGGGACTCCTATAATACGGAAAGCAAGTTCATATTGTCTTTTTCATTACGGCAGATGGACGTGACGGTCCACGGAATCTATGTAAGGCATGGAGAAAACTTCCATTTCCGACGTATGTTTGTTTTATCTCTCCAAAAAAGCACGGAACAGACCGCACAATTTGAGCGATACGAATTAGGGCGTGCAAACAGGTAGAAGGCACGCAATCGGACGCTATTGATTAAAAAAGACAGGATTGCGTAAGACGGTATGCGTCAGCAAACATAGTCGCAAGAGTAACCCCAACTTTCCTCTCAACACTCATCTTCAACCTAGCCCTTACCCTAAAACTAATCATGTTCCCAGGCCAAGTCAGAAGCATTACCATAATATGGTGCGCCTACCAAAATCAAAAAAGAGCCGGAAAACGGTTGTATGCTGCAGCTCAGTGACTGAACATTCACGAACTAGAAAAGAGTAATAACAGGGCAACGGGCTGGTGGCCCGGTGGGTAGAGGCATTGACTTCTAAACCAACTGGTCGCGAGTTCGAGGCTCGGGTGTTCCACACTTCGGGCTTGGGTATGGCTGGCTGACGACGGCTAATAAGCCAGAAATTGCCATTCCAGTCTCCCTTGTCTTTGTCGGTTATACCATTCTGCATAGTAATAACAATATACTACACCGAGATCTGGGCATAATTTCGAAAGAAAATCATCAGGCAACAGTACAGACTTCCTCTTCCAGGCAAGCCGGACAGGACAAAAGCAACTAGGCCTATGCATTTTCAGGTCTGCATTGTCTGCAGGAATCGTCCCTTACTCGCAAATCTCCCCTACAAGAAGTCTTGCACTGGAAATGCCTTCACTGCATCGCGGTGCTCCAAAAACATTTATCTGCATTCGAATTTTCAAAATCACTTTGTCTAAAACCAAATTTCATCGAATTATTCCCCTACAAACTAGAGAAAGCACAATTTTGGGCGTCGTAAGCTGTTGGGAAATATGCTCCGCCGCTCCGGTCACTGTAAAGGAACACTTCTTCAGACGGCACCCTTTCCAATGCAGTCCTAAACTGTAAGCACACTGGGACGCCCTAAGAGCCCCTTTGATATCCTCTAGCTCACTATCAGTCTGTATGCAGGTCGAGTTGTCATCACAGGCGTGAAAAGCCCCACTTGTTTAATCAACGTCAGCTTACTCACGACGGCGGCTGATTCATCTAAGCGTCGCAGTTATCCGACCAGATGCTCCAAGCCAGCATCCTCCCCAAAAGTCATCCGCGTGACCGCCACCTCAGTCACGCTAATAGCAGTAGGCCGATGGACAAGCCCTCGGAGAGGGGGCAGGTCAGAGGTCATTGGCGACGAGCGGACGCATGACAGTCCTAGTTCATCAGGGCGAAAATCACGAGTTGTCTTCACACTGAGTCACATGACATGTTAATTCGGGGTTGGGGCTGCCTAGGCCACCGAGGTGCTGGCCCGCTCACATCCAAAGCTATGTTAGCGGTGTGATCTGGCCCAGAGCTCAACCAGATCCACCGATCATGGAAAGGGGGCGAAAAAAGTCGACAAATGGCCATAACAACGACTGTAGACCGCCAACCGATTTCTCCTACCCCTTCCCCCCCTCTCACATTTCTCTCTCTCTGCCACCTGTTCCCGGGAAATCGCACCTTGTCTGCAAATGACAAGTGAAACTGGGCTGACCATATTTGAAATCGATAGCTGAGATCTCCCTCGACAAAACATCTTCAAATCAGGGTATTGCACTAACTCCCTACCTCGAAATGACCAGTGAGGCCGTTTAGTTTCGCGACGTTTAACCAAACATATGCACAACGTATGATTAAATTAACAGAGATCCGACGTCTTCGTCGAAATCAACATGCAGAGCAGGACTGCGTACTTATCGCAACCCTCGACGGACTTCCGTTCTACGCTTTGCCATTGGACAGGCTGATGATGCAGATGCCACCTAGAGATCTGAGCACCCGACACCTGCATTCCTGAGAGAATAGTCTTAACGACAACCTGTCCTCTCTTCATAGTACTGACGACTGCACACTCAAAGAGATGGAAAGTGTGAGCGAGAATTCGTCCAAACGGATCCCTATATTGCCGTCAAAGGCTTTTGCGTCTCCGCTTCAGGCAAAGGCATTAAAATGGAAAGAACACTTTTTTTCGAAAATCATTACATACTCAACGTCAGATTCGTTTTGCAGAGGTCCGAGACCAGCCAGGCGTCTGGAGGACTAAAAATGAAGCGCAAGACCACTGAGGCATCACCTTAAACTCAGAGCTAAAGGTGTGCCGGTCTTTCAGGAGGGGGCCCAAAACTAGACGGCAGATCAGAGTCGAGAAGGGAATCTGAACCACGGATTCTGGGCAGTCTTGTCTGCAAATCTGCCTGTATCGAACAGGCATGCATGCGAAGTTCAATTGTGACTTTAAAAGGAACTAAAATGTAGGTATATGGGAAAGTCCATGAGGGAAAATGCGTAGTAAATAATCCACGCCCAACTGCCGGTTGTGGTGCTGGTGGAGCTCCTCGCCAACCAATTACTATTACATTAGGTGTGCTAAATAATGAAATGCTAACCGAAATTCTGAAATGCGTTTTCGTTTCGTTAAGATTATTTAAGTAGGTTTTTAAAATTAAGCATCCCGCAGCAGACTTCTAAAACACTTCAGTTACCTCAGGATGCCGGTTTTCGAACGAACTTCTTTCCGGCCGCAGGCAAAAACCGCGTTCTGTAGAAAATGCCTGCTTGTGTACCATGAACTTTTTTTTATTGATTTTCTATGCCCTTAAAAATTCAATTATATTTCATGAAAAATATGCATGAAAATATTTATTCTTCTACTCACTCGGTAGAAATTTACGTCTTATTCTAATTTTATGCTTGAAGGAAGAGGATTATGAGGCTCTAAAAAGTTTCTAATTATGGAATTTTTTAATACCGTGAAATGTTCGTTCATAAAAACATCGTGTCTGTGCATTTACTAATGTTGCATGTAAAGTTAACAATATGACTCGAATTCACTGCTAAATTTTATGAACCCCATATAGTCTCCTCTCAATATGGCGGAGAAATGTATGGTTTTCCGTATGCGGAAAATAATCGACCTACAGTTTGGAAACCCTGAATACAAGTGTAACGGCAGGTCAGGTTAAAAATGACTTGGGAATTGAAAA